AGTTGACGTTCTAAGAAGTGGCCTTCATAACCGCTGTCTTTACTAAGTTCTTTGATTTTGTTGGCGTATGTTTCCATAAATTCACCTTCCTTTCTCGTGCAACTCCAGAATTCAGTAAGAGCTTTGAATCTTGTCTTTTTTATTGCATAAAAACTGTATAATTTTGTTTTGATTTCTTCATACGAACGTTCATGAAAATCCGACAAGAATGATGTTTTTATTTTATGAAATATATCCGGTGGCAAACAGGTAATAAAAATGTCTTTCTGTATTTTCAGATATTCTTGACCATAAATGTTACATTTTTCTTCAAAATATTCAATAAATTCACTCACCGTTGTTTTTTCAGGGTTAAATTTATCGTTTGCAAAATGGCTTATTTTCTAACATTTGTCATCATCATTGTTCAATGATTTTGTTGTGTTTGAACAGCTAAAATGCGTAGTATTTCAGTCAGTTGATTTTGTTGCTTTAGAAAAGCGTTAAATTGGTTCGCATCCATTATTATTAAAATCGTCGCCAATTGAGTAGTAGTAGTTATAGTAGTAAACTTCGTCCGCTAAGGACAGGCGAAGGCGATTGAGCCATACTGCCAGATCTACCGTGTTTATTTCCTTTCTTTTATTTTATGTATGCATCAAGTCTGTAATATTGGTTAAATTTCTCCAACAGTAGAATTAATAAAATTATAAACAGGAATGAAGTTTTCTGGGTGTGATAGAATTTCTTGAAGAGAGGGCGGGATGGTCTTGGAAGTGTCTAAAAGCTGATCTATTAGTAGTAAACGTTGTAAATTGAATGCGGGACATGTGAAAAAAATGTGTTCCAACGATTGATCTTCTTGTAATGAACATTCAGTGCAAATCGGGGATGTTATAATGCGTATACGGTGCAAGTGAGCCCGTCGGCAATTGATATAATTAAAAACACATGTGTAAGATCAAGCATTTTTTAATTAATGACGTCTTTTTGTTCTACTCTTTGTCACTGACATTTTGAAACTATTGTGGCGACATCTAATTCATCGCACTAACACCGCCACAACAATCGATAGCGAGAAGACTAGCATCGTCACAGCCATCGATAGCAAGACGAACTGCAATGCGTTTCAACAGCAAGTAACGAGATGGCGCTGTACCAATACAAACAGCATAAATTAATAACTACAAGATATTTAGAACAAAGAAACCTACATCACACAGAATAAGTTTAATTACCAATTAACATAAATAGAACGTCCAACCTACATCGATTGGACCGCGGTCCCCGGGCTAACAACACCTAGCTCGGAAGGAGACAATTATCCTTTAATCTCCCTGACCAGTTGTCTCCATCACCACAGTATGGACCCAACATATTCAACCTTATGGTTCCTAAACTATAAACATAGAGATAAATTAAACATCTAAGTTGTTACCTATTTTTTGTTAAATTAAAGTAGTAAAATACATAAAGTAGTAAATAGGACAGTTATAGTTTATGTAATTCTTTAACTAGCTTTTGCCCGCGACTTCGTCCGCGTGGTAAAGTTACTTTGAGCAGCATTTCTAACGAATATTTATTCATTATATCGTGTAAAATACCTGAAATAAAGTTTCAACATGTCTACGTCATAACATCTACCTGCATACCAAATTTCAGCTCGATGCGTCCAGTGGTTTGGGCTGTGCGTTTATAGATCACTAACGCCCGATTATATTGAGCAAGTCTCAAACCGTGCTTAAGCCATTTTAAACGTCAAATAAACAGCTTTTCATTACTGATTTATAATTTTTTAATGATCAGTTCATAGCAATTGAATAAAACTAGGGCTTTTTGCCGTGTGAAACGTAAAAAAATTAAGTTATTGAGAATAATCAGTTGAGATTTTGTGCTTTTCTCAATTCAGAAACCGGCCGTAAGTCAGTTAGTCACCTTTAAGTTATATATATTTAGAAGATTTTTGTAGGAAACTATTTTCTGTATTTCACACTATGTAATACCTACTTTTCTACCATTGATTAAGTATCTATACTAATGTTATAAAGAGGAAAGATTTCATTATTTATCTTCATCGCAAAGGCTCCGAACTTTTCTTTCACCTACGGGAAACTACATCATATGCGATGAACATAGGTTATATTTTATCCCGAAAACAGTAAATTAAGGGATGTAAATTGTTATAATTGAGAGAGCTCTAGGATTTAGCAGGGAGGGATGTTATAGATTGTAGATTGAGCATTGGCAACATTATTACCGCCAACAGTTGTCATTATGGCGTCGGTTGTAATACCTTTGTGTTTACCTATTATTAAGAACCAATATGTCGGACCTCGCTGATGATTATAAGTAATAAAACTCCAAGTGCATTATATAAAACTGTTTAATTTATGCCACCACCACGTATACTTATTATGTGAGGCACGACAAAAATGGCAGTGGAAGCTTGTATAAGGAATTTTAAAAGTTACCATAGTAACCATTGTTGACTATTCTCTTTGTCATTGTAATTACATCCATGTCATGATATGAATCGATATACAAAAAACAGGTTCCTAAGGACCACGCGTGCGAAGCCGCTGGCCGAAAGCTAGTACAATCATGGTAAATCTATAACTGCTCTCTGTGCCGAGCTTTACGTAATTATTCTCTATCCGTCCAGCTTATACATAGTAAAAAACTACTCCATCGAAATATTTATAATTCAAATCTCATAATTTTGTGATGAAATACTATTATTGATATGACTGTTATTATAAGTAATATGATGAATCTAGAATCAGCAGATAATGTACTTTTCTAGAGCCTGATACTAAATTCATAGCAAACACATTGATTGGTTTTATTACATAATAGTAGGGGAGCCCACGATGCTAAATCGGGATTTACTTGAGCGTCATAGAGACCTATTGGGTTGCGAAGCTTAGATGATAACAAAAAAATGTCATACCTTTTCATCGGTGGGGGAAGCGGCTATAGATTTTTAAAAATGTAAAAAAATACTGTTGTATGGAATTACTCGAGCGCGTCAGATATTAATATCATCCATGTCCTACGCATTTTTAAAAACTGTCGAATGTTAATCTGATCATTTCCATGATGGGGGTGGTCATACGTAAGGGTTGAAAATGAAAAAAAAAATTTTTTTATAGAGCGCGTCAGATTTTTTTGAGGGGATGTCAAGTGAACCTAAAAAAAGCTCTCATATAATAATCTGACGATTTGGATGTGACGCAAACGCGTGACCATTAGATATTAGAATGTGCAAAAATAAATCGCCATTTTGAAATACTCAAGCGCGTCAGATTAAGATATATATGGTTCATCTTTATGCCCCAGACGTGATATATCATAATCTGACGATTATATGAAGGGATTCACTTAATCTGACAATTAATTTTTTTTTTAATTTTTTTCAAATCATTGACCTTAATTAAATTCATTGAGCTTAATTAAATAGAAAAGCACCGGAGTTAGCAATTTAAACAAAAAATTGGCAAAAAAAGTGTATGTTTTTTTATGTACAATACTTATATTTATAAGAAAATGATTATATGAAAATTTAACTTTTACAGTATTTTTTATTAATTATCATCTTCATCGCTAGAATCATCTTCCTCTTCTTCTCTTAGTAAATATGTAAAAAGTTAAATTCATAAAATTTACATTAAAATAACAAAATAAGCAAAAACGTTGGAAATACGATGTAAACAATATCACGCCACGAACGAGTCTGTGTCATCAGCTGTCATGGCGTCATGGCAACCGAAACCAGAGTGGGGACGGAGTGAGAGAGTAATAGATAGAAAAAGAGTGAGAGAGAAATAGTGATGCGGAGAAGGAAATATAGGTATCACGTAGCTGCACGCATTAAATGTTATCGATGGATTTTTATTACTTCGGCTTGTGAAAATCGTCAGATTATATATTTTTCGTAATCCTTGAATGATTCCCTTCAAAATAAAAAAAAAATAGCCACGCTCGAGAATGTCAAAGTGATGTTTTTTTTTACAACTTCGTAGCCTTCCCTCTTCTTTACGTCACTCTCAAATTGTCAGATGAGAGGTATGTACACCTTTTAGCATGTAACTAGCTCACCTTACCTTAATCTGACGCGCTCGAGATTTTCAGATGATCAATTTTTTTTTACTAATATGATCCTTCGTCCTTGCCGGGCGGCCATTTTTATAGGGCTCATACTTGGTCCAGGTACTTAACTGGGTACAAGGTATCCCCCTGTATATTAATCTGCCGCGCTTTAGTAAATCCAGAAATCCCCGCTTCGGCTCCCCTACTATAACAGTAGTGGCGCTGCCAGACTAACGATACTCAATGACGGATGTATCAAACCGAAATTTCAAGTTTCTATAGAATCAACATCTATAGAAATCTAAACTAAATACAGGAGGCGCTGCGGGGAATCGAGCAAGTAACAGAATATGAGGACGGCAGAATTGCGGTAAACAAAACCGGTTGCGATTCCCTTCAGTGCCAGATTTCAGTCTTTGGTTTTGTTGCTGATGTAAACATTTTGGTTATATTTGATAAAAGGCATATTAGGTTTTGTAAAAAAAATTTTTTATAAAAACAAAACAACCAATTCTATTTCGATAAAATTTATATGGGCCCATATTAGGCCTGTAATAAAAAAAGCATAATTAAAATCGGCTCATAAACGACGAAGTTATTTGCGAACAAACAATATATAAATAAAAAGCATATATACGGTTGAACTAAGAATTTTTTTTGAAGTCGATTAAAAACATAAGTTTCCAATGAGAAAATATTTAAGAAAAAATAGTTCCCGAAATCGAACTAGATGTCGCTACGGTATGCTCTTGATTTCTCCATGACAACCATTCCGGTTTTCTTTCATGTTACAAAAATCAACTTTTGCTAAAGTCGCCATCTAGTGGTGTGCTTTTTTAGTGATTTTGTTTTTCTAATACTTCCTCATCATTTTCGTTTATCAGCAATTTTTTTTTTCAATAGCTATAGAAAAAATAAAGCGACTGATATTTGGAAAAAAGTATTTATTAACAAAATTATAAAAAATAATAGTTGTGTGACCGTTTGGAATGGTAAAACCTCATAGGATAAAAAATATGTATAAAATCTAGATCGAATTCTTATCAACATCCTAAAATTGCACCATTAATTATATAATTAATTTCATTGACATAAATGTTATGATTATTATTCGCATTATTGGTATTAAAGAGTTTGATATTTGAGTAATGCGACATACGTACAATTGCCCCATTAGAATACCCTTAACCTCATTTCCATAACCTAGGGAAATCCCGAATTCAAGAAGTATAAAGTTTTATAGTTTGGAACGTATCATTTCAACCCTACTCGCTGCCTGTCGAGGTAAGTCTGCGACTTTCATTGCCAGGCCCATGTTACCTTGGATCTTAATCTTCCCTTGGAAAAATGCTTTCTGAGGATTAAGTTTACCCGTAATCAAATCAGCGATATCCTCGTCGTTCACAGTGAAAGTGACATCAGGTTTCTCTGAACCGTTATACGTAACCTTGCCTTTGCCTACTTTCGCATTTATAACCCAGTAGCCTTCGTTACCATTCGGGCCGTTCTTCACTTTCAATCCGTATATGCCTCTCACTTTTTCGATAAGTTTTTCTTCATCTGACTCCATCAATTCTTCAAGAAGCTTGATGTACTTGTGAACTATGAAACCATCTGGGCTGTCGGCAACGGCCGCAGCCTTATTAGGTGCAGCATTCTCAAATCCTTTGCGGTACATTGTTACGACGACTGCTCCTCCAAGACCCAAGTTATGTTGCAAAGCTATCCTTGCGTGAGGTACCTGGAATAGAGATAATTTAATTGGTCAATTTTTGCTTCCTTCATCATCATCATCATCAGCCCTTTAACGTCCCCACTGCAGGGCCTTCCTTACGGATGGTTAAGGAGGATGGGCCATGACCCTCCACGCTGGCCCAATGTGGATTGGAGGGTATTAACGACTGCAAATGCAGCCGGGACCAACGGCTTAACGTGCCTTCGGAAATACGGAGTGGCTCGAGATAATAATTTTTTGGTCACCCATCCCGTGACCGACCCTTGCGAAAGTTGCTTAACGAAAACGATCGCGTGCTGCGGTGCTTATCCACTACGCCACAGGGCTACTTTGCGTTCTTAGACAACATTTTTCTAAGTATACAGTACAGACGGTTTTCACTTAATAAAGAATCCCTACGATAGGCTGTTTTTTGGATGAAAGTTAAAGAAACCCACGCAAAGAAAAAAAGTAGGTATATAATATTAAGTATACCAACAGCCTGCTGTCATCAGGCCTACCGAGTAACTACGTTGGCTTTTATTGAATGACTAACAACCGCTCTCGCATTGCACGGCTCCAACCGTCGAAACGTTCAAACTACAAATTCTTACACTCACCGCTAATACTACATACTGGTTAAATATGTCTCTTGGCTGTAATAATCATTATTGATAAGTTTATTACTTTCAAAAGTTCAGCTATTTTAATAGTTTTTATACAGGTAGATAGAAATATCAGATATATTCAATGCGATGTGATATATTTTCATAAACAAGACATTTATTCTGGCATGCGGTTTCGAGTACTTATGTACGAGGTGTACAAAGTTCAAGGCGATAAAATGAATACGACAGTGATAAATGAAATTTATGCACAGAATAACAATTTAACTTCATAAATTACATAAATACTGTAAATCAGAAATCTAAATACATACATAAATACTGTTAATCAGAAATCTAAATAAATACTGTAAATCAGAAATCTAAATACAGATTAAGATTTGCTATATAATTTTTTTATGTGATACGTTGGTAAGGATGAGATTGTGGCTATTATTAAATTAATTTAAAATTTCTGTAGACATACAAGAATAGTAACAAACTTATCCTCTACTCTAGATTGAATAAACCAATCTAATAAGTCTTCTGACAATCTATCAGCCTGACAGATAATCGACGGTTACATTTTAAGAGACTAATCAGTTATAGCCCCAAAATATAATTTATACTATTTTGTTTCTATCATACCGAGGTTTTTTTATAAGATTTATCATATGAAATTAATAATTTATCATATTTATCTTTTAAATCGAGTCCTTATCTGACCACTATTTTTCTACTCCAACAACTCTAAATGCTCCAACGTGATAGAGTATTAAGTTATCGTATTCATCAGCTTATGAATTTGTTTGATTTTTGTGATTATACACATACCAAAAGTGTCTTTAATTATTTTTTTTAAACCTATTTTAGCTAGTAGGTAAGTCTTTGGGGTGCGAATAGTTAGTTATTTAAGCTACATCATATGCGGGTGGTATAGACTATATTTACGTGAACGAAAACGCGGAAAACAGCTCGAGTTCGTGTTCAAGAAATTATAGCACTTCTCTGTCAAGTTAAATCAAACAATTCAACTTATATTGAAGTGTGTTATCTCTATTTTATATATGGTTAGGAACAACAAACATATACGATAGATAACCTCTTTAAAAGGGCTCGCTTCACAGTTTAATCAGGGTGTCCACTATAAATGTCTATAAAAATCCCTGACTTTTGACGGGCATCTTTACCATGTATTAAAATATCCCTGACCAATTATCAATTGTCTTTTGAAATTAATACATTTAAAATAAGGAAAATTATTCATGAACTATCCCATGAATATCAATTACTACACACATAGGTTCCCGCCGGACACGCATGCACAAACGCACTCAAGCACGCATGCACGCACGCACACACACACGCATACACGCACGCACGCACGATATCTCGCAAACTATACTTCGGATATCAATAATTCTAAAATATTTTTAATATATCGCTTAGCTTTCAACTTAGGGTACAATCAAATGTATTACTGCATAGAATAAAATAATGATCGACAACTTTAAGAATAGTGTTAAATTATGGACATTTTCTCTTATCCATATTCATCTCAAGACCCACTCTTTGGGACATATAGTGAGATCAATTAGCATGGTGTTCAGGTCCTCCAAGGTCAAAGGTGTGTAAGATATCCATCAATGTTGATGCCTTTCCAGTCCAGAAGCTTGAAAATATCCTCCAACGCAGGAGTGAAGTTTTGGAGAAATTAGATCTCCCTGTCTCATACCTGGCTACAATTGGATGGGATTTGAGTTCTGGTAATCGGACCGATATAGTGACATTCTTCTGTATACACAAGTACCACGATGTACTTGCAGAGCGGACTTTTCCATATAGGCAAACTAGGCAACTGCCTACGGCGCGGCGCTCGTACATAGGGGGCGGCAAGGCATGACAACCACATATTTGCTTTAATTATTTAAACTTCAAAAATGCAGTACCTTAAATTTACTTTTGTTTGAACATAAGTCCATGTCCGGGTGTTCTTATGTACGAAATTTTCAGACCAAGGAGTTTCTCTAGCCAGTGGCAAAATTACACTCTTTAATTGGTGTACTACGGTGTACACGCACATCAGTATTTCATTGTTTTTTCTATGGCACCAAGTTTCATCGAGCCGGCGATGTATACCCGTAGTCCACTTTCCACTTTTGGCGAGACTGCAGCACCGTCTATGCCTTGATCGAATCAAAGGCTTTCTCATAGTTTACTAACGCTAAACAGAGTGGCGAATTATTCTCCTCAGTCTTCTGCATAACTTGCTGCAGTGCATGAATATGATCTACAGTACTATAGCCTCTTCGTAAACCGGCTTTATTGGTAGGTTGGAAGTCGTCGAGCCTATGAGCGATTCTGGAACGGCGGAATGCAAGATACTTTAGTCCCGAACATACGGACAGCATCCACCACCATGCTGTTTAGATTTCATAGAAAAACTGTTCTCAAGGGCTTTGGAGCGGTTCTGAAACTCGTATTGAAAGTTTTCAGGGTTTTATATTTGTGCAGCCATTGTTCAGAGTGCTGGTTTCATCAATCGAGATCTTTCAAGCTTGATATTGATATTCAATATGCCAGTGTTATGCCACGGGCATGAAATTCCACCTCGAAAAGGTTTAGTTATAAGAAGCGATGTTGTTGATGAAAATTTAAAACAATCGCCTTTATATTACATTGAAAATAAATGTATACTTGACAAGGTTTCATAAAGTTGATACTTAATATATATTATGTGCAAACTTTGCACTATACTGATATCAATAATAGATAAGACTCCATATTAAAAAAGTTAGATCATAAAAATAGTTTGAAACGCACATAAACTATTGAATATATTCTAAGTACCAACACAAACACATGTTCTATTATGAAGCTGAAACTAGCAGCTACGCGGTGATCAAGGCCAGGGACGACACGCGGAGTGGGGCCCGCGCCCCCGATAAAATTTAATGTATGAATAACTAATTACAAAGTGGATAATAAAGAGAAGATGAGGATAAAAAATTATAAACAAAAGAGACCCATTCATCTCCAAATTTATGCAACAAATTTTATTCAAAGACATGGTTTTGAGATGTAAGAAGTCGTAATTTTGTTCCTTACCATCAGATATTAATAAAATTTGATTCAGAACTATGTTATGATGCAATTATAGTGTTGACAAAGTTACAAAAGGAATACTCGATTCCTTCCATTTTTTCTGATAATTTTTATTAATTAAAAGCCACTTTTGACCATGAAAAAAATCATAACTTTGTTACTTAACATCAGATATTAATAAAATTTAATCCAGAACTATGTTATGATGCAATTATAGTGTTGACAAAGTTACAAAAGGGATACTCGATTCCTTCCATTTTCTCTGATAATTTTTATTAATTAAAAGCCACTTTTGACCATGAAAAAAGTCATAACTTTGTTCCTTACCATCAGATATTAATAAAATTTAATCCAGAACTATGTTATGATGCAATTATAGTGTTGACAAAGTTACAAAAGGGATACTCGATTCCTTCCATTTACTCTGATAATTTTTATTAATTAAAAGCCACTTTTGACCATGAAAAAGTCATAACTTTGTTCCTTACCATCAGATATTAATAAAATTCAATTCAGAACTATGTTATGATGCAATACGAGTAATGACAAAGTTACAAAAGGGATACTCGATCACTTCCATTTTTTCTAATACTTTTTATTAATTAAAAGCCACTTTTGACCATGAAAAAAGTCATAACTTTGTTCCTTACCATCAGATATCAATAAAATTCAATTCAGAACTATGTTATGATGCAATACGAGTAATGACAAAGTTACAAAAGGGATACTCGATCACTTCCATTTTTTCTAATACTTTTTATTAATTAAAAGCCACTTTTGACCATGAAAAAAGTCATAACTTTGTTCTTTACTGTCAGATATCAATAAAATTCAATTCAGAACTATGTTATGATGCAACACGAGTGATGACAAAGTTATAAAAGGGATACTCGATCACTTCCATTTTTTCTAACAATTTTTATTAATTAATAGCAACTTTTGACCATGAAAAAAGTCATAACTTTGTTCCTTACCATCAGATATTAATAAAATTTGATTCAGAACTATGTTATGATGCAAGAAGGAAGGGAGAAAGTTGGCACGAAGGAAACTCGTTTTTTTTTGGTTTTTACTGCGATTTTTATTAACTACTCAATAGTTCTTATGATTTTTTGGGTTGTAACCCCGTCAGTATAAGCTAGAAATCCATAAAATTTAGATAACAAAACTTTTTTTTCTTCATTCATCAATCTTATAATATTTCGCTGCTGAAGTCATATTTGTATTTTTGTTTTACGAAAAAATATTTTTTTTTATCCGGTTTTTATCTATTTTTCTTTTTCTTAAGTATTATTTATCCTTATTCTTTGTACTATTATATATTTATGTTATTTTAATTTAGTTTGTAATTAATAATTAATCAGTTGGCTAGAAATAAAGATATAATTTTCAAAACGTCAATCTTTATTGATAAAAATTGTTGGAAATTAAAGAAGAAGCAGAGTATCCCCCTTGTCCTCGACACTACTTTTTCCTTACATCATAATTAAGTTACAGACCAAGTTTTATTAGAATCTGTTGGCTAGAAATAAAGATATAATTTTTCACATTTCAAAAAATCAATCTCTATTGATAAAAATTGCTGGAAATTAAAGAAGAGGCAGAGTATCCCTCTTGCCCACGACACTACTTTTCCTTTACATCATAATGAAGTAACAGACCAAGTTTTATTAGAATCTGTTGGCTAGAAATAAAGATATGATTTTTTACATCTCAAAAAGTCAATCTTTATTGATAAAAATTGCTGGAAATTAAAGAAGGAGCAAAGTATCCCTCTTGCCCTCGACACTACCTTTCCCTTACATCATAATGAAGTTAAAGACCAAGTTTTATTAGAATCTGTTGGCTAGAAATAAAGATATGATTTTTCACATCTCAAAAAGTCTATCTTTATTGATAAAAATTACTGAAAAATAGAGAAGGGTGGAGTTTTTTTTTTCGTGGTTATTATTATCCGTCCTGAATTTATTTTTCTCTTTTTATTGAACTTATTATCCGGGGAATAGTCAATCATGTTTTAAAAAAAAATACAGTTGTGGGCCCGGGTCTTTTTTTCTACGTTTCGTCCCTGCGGCTGTCAGCTGGTAGCTGCTAATTTCAGTTTCATGTTCTATTTACGAAATTTAAAATAAATGTAGTGATAAAAATTTTACAAGGACCTTATATTTTTTCCCTGACTTCATGATCGACTATCTTGCCCATCTTTTACTTCCCCAACTTTTTCCCTGACTTTTCCTGATTTTCCAAAAAGTGGACACCCTGTTAATGTAAATAGAATGGTCGAACCAATAAGAACTCATTGGGTCGACTAACAAAATGATGTGAAATCAACTTGATATCTGATTAATCTGTAAACCTCATTAATCCAAAGAATTTGAAAATTTGACAACACTTGATAGGTACGCTGTCAGTTTGAACAGTAGTAAGGAACCTTCATATTACTAATTTATTAAATTTAATTATATCATTATAACAATAACTATTAGAATAAAAGGGTAAGCATATGTAATAGTTATGTACAAATATTGAAAATTTAACACACATTAACAGATTTCAGATTTGGGTAAGAATATAAGAATATTAATCTGGTTTCAGATAATTTAAAAGTAAGTAGTTAATTTTGTTTTAATTCTAAAAGTCAAATAGTAGACAGAGAATTGTTTAGTATTAATACTATGTAAGTTTTATTTCAATCAGAATAGTAGTAAAGGCATTTATATATTAATAGGGAGAAGCCTCAAATTCATTTAGACATATACATATAAGTAGGTTAGAAATGTACTATTTTATAAAATACTAGATGTTTTCCCACAATATTATAGCCTATGTCACCTGTGTATGATGCAACTGCAAAATTTTATGTTATAGTCCTACTAATTGTGTACAGTTAACTACTCAATATTGAGTGTAATCTACTAGTTTATAAACTCAACCCTAATTATGACTAAGCAATAGATATCAAATAATGTGAATTATAATAAGTGTGTAGGACTAAGCTGGACTGACACTATTATGCTTCATTTAGATTTCTCTCCTATTCTAAACTTTTATATTGGTTTGGGTTTAATATACTTATTTATTTCAGATATAGTTTCAATTACAGTTATGGAGCTCCCAAAAGGAGAAAAATAAATATACAACAATCCTCGATAATCAAAAATGATATTACTTTTTTGAAATGAATAAAGTTAAGCCCAATAGCATTCACAACATCAAGGCTATAACATTTACTTATTTTCCCAAAGCATATTATGTATAAACTGTAACCATTTCCCATACATTGCAACTCACAGTAAAGTCCCTTCAAAGGTAAAACCAACCTGTCGTTGTCCAGCTTCCCCTCGGAGCTGCCACACAAGTTCAGCACATTGTGCCAGACCTGTGGCTCCTAAAGGGTGACCTTTGGCTATCAAACCTCCACTAGGATTCACAACCACTCTCCCACCATAAGTATTGTCTCCAGCATCAATAAACTTTCCTGCCTGGCCCTCTCCACAAAGCTGTAACCCTTCATATGTAATTAATTCATTTGCTGAAAAGCAATCATGTAGTTCAACAACATCTACTTGCATTGGAGATATTCCAGTCTTTTCATAAAGTCGTTTGGCTGCTAAGGCAGTCATATCAGTTCCTGCAACTTTCATTAAGCTGTTTTCATTAAAAACAGCTGGAGTGTCAGTAGCCATTTCCATACCAATTATTTCAATGGCTTTACTCTGAAGACCATATTGTATAACTGCCTCTTCAGACATTAAAATTGCAGCTCCTGCACCATCACTAGTGGGACAACACTGCAGCTTAGTCAGAGGACCATAAATTTTTCTTGATTTAAGAACTTCCTCAACTGTATATTCCCTATTACCTTGGGCTCGAGGGTTTTTAGCACCATGTCGGTGGTTTTTAGCAGCCACTTTTGCAAAATGCAATTCTGTTGTGCCATATTTTTTCATATGTTCAATGCCAGCATTACCAAAGAATTGTGGTGTCATTGGTGCTGCTGCAATGTCAGCTAACTCAGACATTTTGAGCACATGCCTGTCCAATGGGTTGGTCCTATCTGTAAATCCTCCAGAGCCTAATGCTCCAGGTGCCATTTTCTCGAAACCTACAGCCAAGATAACATCAGACACCCCACCTTCGATAAGTTGTTTAGCGAGATAAAGGGCACTAGATCCAGTTGAGCAGTTATTATTAACATTGTATATGGGTATACCCGTCATTCCAACCTGGTATAAAACACGTTGGCCACATGTAGAGTCACCAAAAACATAGGCACAGACGGCTTGTTGAATATCGTCATACTTTATCCTCGCATCTGAGAGCGCTTCCAATACTGCCTCCTTTCCTAATTCTGGATAATCTTTATTAGAACCAGGTTTGATGAACTTTGTCATCCCGACGCCAACGACGAATACTTTTCTAGGCATTTTGTAAATGATATAATTACCTCTTGATAGTGGCGATGACGGCCGTGGAGCTCGGAAGATGCACACAATAAACAAGTAACAAAAGAAAATGTATTCGGATAATTCGAATTATTTGTTTAATTACAGATTAAAATTATGTAAATATAGTGGTATTCGTAATAGTTAATAATTACAAGTTAAATTCTAAAAGCACACTATGAATGAAATTGGCATACGCTACGAAGACAGACTTAATCAAAGACTACAGTGTATAGACTTAACACGTATGATATGCAATGAACAAACAAATTAATAAAATAGAATGAAATTATATATAGAAAAACCGGTATATAGAGATATATCGACGTCCCAAAATAACGATATCGTAGAAAGAGTGATATATCGATATCGAAAAATTCAACATATCGTAACCTATTCCTACATACCGTAATATCGAATAAAATCCTATGAGTAACTATACTTATATCGCGATTCTGTAAAAAACGAGACCCGATTTCGAACTCACTCGAAAATTTGAATTCACGGACATGTGTCCGAATTCACGTCACTGAGGGTAGAAATTCTTTTGATTCCCTTTTTTGTATGAAATACAAAACAAAATTGATGGAATATACGTGTCTCAGATATTCTATTCCTATGTTATTGCTAAAGTCACTTATGCCACGAACCAATTCAAGGTTGAGCGGATGCCACTTTTTGAAGTTAATTCGGCCATCTGAATGAATGAGGAAGTATTTAAAAAAAAATAAAGAAACTACAGACATTTATGTCACTAGATGGCAGCACAAATTGTTGGATCTAAACGTCCCAAAACCAAAGATAATAGAATTGTCAATATTGTTATGGATCTGATAACTCGGATTAATATCGAGTTGAAATTTAATTTGTTCGAGATATGCAAACGCAACTCAATTAATACAAAGTTATCTTTGAATAAATTTCTTTTTTATTTGTATAGAGGAAAATCAAAACTAACATAATGGAAGTGAGCACAGAGGTTTTTTTTTAAATTTATGGAAATCAATTGATTTAATGCTGTGTTATAATTAAAAGTGGCATTTAGCTACGATATACAATAATATTACCCTCAAATAGTCTTTATAAATAAAATACTTATACCATAGTAGGTCTAGGAATTTTTCATTATAATATTTAACAAAAGTTCTGAAAACAAAGACAACTAGGTAAGTTAGTTTTATTGCTATTAGTTATTTTTTGAACTTACAACAACAAAACTACATCAAGTCTCAATAATATTTTTATATTTTGTATGGTGAATGAATGAATAGGGATTATTAATCAGCAACAAAAGTCATAAAAACGATAATTATAATAAAAAATCAGTTTATTATCTATATACTTACCCGATATGTATCAAATATGTATACTAGGTATTCGTACAAATAACATGACTTTTGGCTAAAATGACGTTTGTGCACAGTGTAACGTCCAAATAACTTGTGCTTTCGAAATTAAGACTTTAAAAAACTGTGAAATTTTAAAGAGAGAGAGTTATTAAATTCATAATTAAATCATCTTAATAAACATTCAGCAATCAACAAGAAACATCTGTTCTAAGCGAATAGCAAGGTTATAACTTTAAATTTTAAAATCATAAAGACACGTACAGTTACTGTTGCTACTGATCTTGCATGTCAACGGTGGACGTCCAGCCGTGTGTTAAGTTAATTCGTACGGTGGGTATGTGCTTTATGGTTCTTACAATAATATAATATTGTTAATAATAGATTGACTTCCTATACAACCTACTCTAGAAATCAGTTTTATTGAAATAATATATTATTTACTAAGTATTTAGAGTAGTCATGCTCTCTTAAAAATCACTGCGGTGGTGTCGTGTGCGTTAGGTCGTTACGTTCCCTCAAATATAATATAATTGAGTTGTATAGTTGAAATTAAAAAAGTAGCCCTTGCTGAGTTTCTTGCCGATTCTTGTCAGTACAAGATCTCCCGCCTTAGTTTTGCGAACAATTGGCAAAGTTTTCGTCTTTCACAAGTACTATGTAACAGAATAGACTGAATTGATTTTGATATTTATATTAATATCATTCGTTTTGTGGATGTATGATGACACATACAAATACAAGATAAATTCTGCGCTCCGCTTTTTGTTCTTCATTCCAAAGCTGAATCGGATGAAAGTTACGAGCAACCAATAAGTTGGGTCATCTCTAATGTTGACGTATCAACCAAACATCGTTCCTTTACACGTAACATAATAAACAACCTAAACTTGCGATTAAAATAAATTAAAATTAATTTGAAAGTTAGATATTATAAGAAACATAAAACAATGTCATATTTATTAATTATCGATACTTAATTTACTTTTATTACGTCAGAAACAAAATTTGAATTAATATCATAAACAAAATTCAAACATCGCGAGTGACATCTAGTATGATTTCAAGAAGTAGTTTTTATTTTTTAAATACTTCCTCGAGCAAGTAATCTTTGAATAAATTTCTTTTTTATTGTTTAAAGGAAAAATGATATATAACATAATGGAAGTGAGCACAGAGAAGGTTTTTTAAAAGTTATTGAAATCAATCGAATTAATGCTGTGAAATAATTAAAAGTGGCATTATTATACCGTAGTATACAATAATATTACCGTGAAATAGTTTTCATAAATAAAATAATTATGCCAAAGTAGGTCTAGAAACTTTTAATTATAATATTTAACAAAAGTTCTGAAAACAATAACAACTAGGTAAGCTGGTTTTATTGCAATCCGGGCGACCGGAGACTGGATTGCGAAAGTTCGTGGGCTCGAATCCCATCTCAGGGTGCAAGGGGCCAAATATTTTTCAGTATAGCATTGTGAATGCGAAATTAATCAATTATAATTATTGCTATCAGTTGTTTGTTGCACTTACGACAACAACTTCTAAATAAACTTAAACGTCTCCAAAATCTCTCAATACCGTTTATATTTGGCTTACGTAAATATGACCACGTTTCCGAATTCCGTAAGCAACTTCAGTGGCTTCCTATCCGTCCACGTAGGGATATGCATATGCTCTCTCCTGTCTACTCGATGCTGTTCAACCCCATGACTCCTTCTTATCTTAAAATACGATTTAAATTTCTCTCATCTTCTTATCATCTATCTCTTAGCTCTTCTAATAATAATTATTGTTTGTATAAACCACCTAATCTATCTAAATTTTACAGCAATTCATTACCATTACAGGCCACTATACTCCATTCATTATAGCATTAGACAGAAGTTAAATAAAGTTCTTTTTATGGTATACTTTGTGATTAAATATCAATAATCATATTACTCTAAAGACTGACGGCTAATTTGCTACATATCCACTTAAATACCAATTGCTATACTGAACTGTTCTCATTTAAGCTATCTATTAAACAAGTTAAGGAGTATTTGACCAACTTAAATGATTTAATAACTATTACAATAAAAAGTGTTCATCTTAAAGAACCAGGGTTGCAAGGTTGGAAGCAGGGTTGGATAGTTCCGGCACGATTCTCATGTCACTATAACTCTACCAAATTTAAAACGTTGCCTCATCCCTTCAAACGTTTCGGCAGTACAGTTTTTTAATTTTGTCAGACTATAATGTATTCATAATTGTTAAAATACGTAATCTGGGATTGTCATCCGTTGTTAAGTTAAGTTGTTATTGTTTTATTTTTATTTTGTAATACTTTTGTTTTTGTTGTTAAGTTTTGTTAAATATCGTCGATGCCGGTGCAGGCTTTAATCCCCCATAGCTACCTTTAACCTTTAACATTTCAGGAAGTTTTTCTAATGTCTTCACCTATAGTCTAACTTATGTCTGAATAAATGTTATAATAACAAATTAATTTTGTTTACCTTTCTTTCCTGGGCATAGATATAACAAAATTCTATTCTAATTATATGCACTTACAATTATAATTTATCAAAAAAAACAGAAAAATAGTTTTAGTTCCATATTGACTTGAGAGTGAAAGATGAATTAAGAAAATGCTGACCTCATCTCAACCCCGAAGTATCGTAAAAAATGGAAAATTGCCCAGCTCTTTCAGACTATCTAACGTTCAAAGTTTCAACAAAACTATTATATATATTTTTTAAATTCATCTTTGAAATAAAATGTTTTGCACTGCTGCTTCTATGACCCTCTTTTTTCTAATGTTATAATGAATGGAGTATAGACTCTGAAACTCCTTACCCGAGTCAATACGACAGGCAAAGTCTTTAGATATTTTCAAATCGCTGCTAAAATCTTTATGACTGTCTGAAGATTAATCTTCCTTTCCTTTCTTCCTCTCTTTTAGTTTTTTTCTCCTCTTCTCCCTTTCCTCCCCCACATGTCGCACTTTGTTTGTCGCTGGTATGCTTTCACGCTTTGCACACCTATTAGTATTGTCATTTCAATCTATGCTAACTTTTGTTATATTTGTCCGCGTAATTTCGTTGTATTAAGCTTGCACTATCTGCTGATATTTTAATTGTACTTATTTAAATTTCCGTACTTTGTTAGGTTGCCTGACATAAATCGCTATCAAGCGATAAGGCCGCTTGTTGTACAATGCTAGTGTAAAATTTTTGTTTATTTGCCTCTTTTCTATTGTGCAATTAATAATATTTATTATTATTATTAACAACAAAACTACAACACGTCTCAATAATATTTTTATATTGTGTGTGGTGAATGAATGAATAGGGTTTATTAATCAACAACAAAGGTCACAAAAACGATTATTATAATAAAAAATCCGTTTATTATCCATATACTTACTTACCCGATATGTATCAAATGTTCTAGGTATTAGTACAAAATAACATGACTTCTGGCTAAAATGATGTTTGGGCAAAGCATAACGTGCAAATAAGTTGTCCATTCGAAATAAAGAATAAAGAAATCTGTGTCGCAAGTTTCAATATTTGAAATAATATTGTTTCGGTTGTGGGTGGATGCCAAAATATTGATGAAAATACGCTCTGTAGTAGTGAAAAGTGCTTGAAAGATTCGCCAGTCCTGTTAAGTACTAAGTAGCTCAGCGGTTAGAGCAGTCGCCCGGATTGCGAAAAGTCGTGGGTACGAATCCCATCTCAGGGTGCCAGGGACCAAGTGGATTTTTTTAAGCATTTTGTATTAAAAATAAAAAAAAACTATGATCAGTTATTCAATCGTATATTCATAATTAAATCATCTTAATAAAAATTCAGCAATCAACAAGAAACAATCAGTAAGGTTACAACTTCAAATTTCA